CACACACACACACACACACACACACACATTCAAACACACAAAACAACCCGAAGTTAGATTTTGGTGTAAAAACTTATGTTCGCCACCTTTGATCTCTTCATCAACACCTTGGAACAGAAGCAGCAGGAACAATTGTATTCAAATAGTGAAAGAATTCTCTTATAACGTTTTACTTTTATTATTTTGATTCGAAGTTTCTTCAAAAAGTAAAAAAAAGGACCAACAATACAACACTATTCATCTTGTCGCTATAGGATCTATTATTATTCCGAGAGCGATATGAATAGTGGAATATACAGTGGCGGTAATATTTTGTGCAAGGAATCATAATTTACTTTTTACTTTTTCCTTCCTCTGGTATCCTTAGGAATCATTAAATTCTTTAAAAAGGGTATGCATGCTATACAACCACACGAATTTCTCTCATTATGTCTGACCTGTGTCTCCTCCATTTTCTCTGTTGCGATTTCCAGGAAGAATTTCACTTTCCGGAAGCACTCTGCGGTATTCTCATTTCTTCCCCCGTGCCTCAGCGTTTTTCGTAAACTTGGGTTCGGTACTTCGCTCTCTTCCGGTAAAACAAATCCTCCTCTGCATTGTAGACAGAAAACAGCGATCATCATTTTCATTTTCATCATCATCATCATCATCATCATCATCATCATCATCATCATCATCATCATCATCATCATCATCATCATAATCGATGTCGTCGTCGTCGTCGTCATCACTATTGTCGTCGATGTTTTTGTTTTTAATCTGTCCTCATCGTCACGGTAACCACATTGAAGATGGCGATCGTTGACAATGATAATCCCAATCTACATAATGTATCTCGCAGGGAGAAATTTGTCTTGGTGCTATGTGCACTCACGTATACAAGACGGCACGAATATTACGTGCTGAAGCAAGCGCCTTCGCTCAGTAAAATTATATATTTTTTCTCACCCCCTCCTTCTCTCTCTCTCTCTCTCTCTCTCTCTCTCTCTCTCTCTCTCTCTCTCTCTG